ACAAAGATGTTAATGTTTCCTGGGACATTTACTGAGACACTACTTGCTACCAATAATAACTTTTTAATTAAATTTAACAAAATCAACCATTTCTCTTGTAACTTTACAGTAATGAAGGTATTTTTAAAATGCACATTTGGAGTTTTTCTTCCTACTTCAGTGAAGCATTGTTTACTTAACTAAAAGTTGCACCACTAAAGGCATAACACACCACTCGCGCAGATTCTGCCCATTTTAGTCTGACAGAGAGAAAGCAGTTTGTGCAAATGATCGACAACACAAACCTCAGACACAGTCTGCTACACCCTTAGGATGTTACTCCCCCTGAACAAAATCAATAAGGCCATTTTCAGGGGACAGATAGTGATCAGTGCTCCTTTAATAAACTTCCATCTGTTTAATGCTCACCTGCGGCCCACCAAGTGCATGATGAAATGATTAAAATGTATATCACACAGTAAGGCTCCAAAACAGCAGGACAACAAAGACACTGAGAGGGAAGGGCAACAGAGACGGAACAAGGACAAGAGCAGACAGAAAGGACTGAGTAAACAAAAAGTCTTTAAAAGGGAAAAGAGGGCATAATTGCTGCAACAACCACTTGAACATGCAATATATACAGAGTTTTTATTTATTATTATGTCAGTGATTTCTTTGTGTTTCCTTTTAAACAGCTGGTAATCCACAGCTGGGTAGAAAATGCTTTCTGAATCCAGGGTGGTTTTACCCTACTCAATGGCTATATTATCAGTCTAGGCACGCTCCACTGAGCAGCATGGCATAGCTGACAGCCAGGCCTAGGCACCAGCTAACAGTCACTGAATTCCAGCCCAGTGACAGCTTACCATAACTACAGTAACATTCCTGGACACTGAGCACAGCACAGGCTATCTAGCAACATGTCTTCTACCTCCCAAATACTCAGAGCTGAGCTTGAGCAGGGGACATCTAACTCACTGGGCATCAAGGGGAAGGGGGGCAGAGGAAAAAAAAAAGAAGAAAAAAAGAAAAAGAAAAAAAGGACAGAGCTACAAAGATGTCACTTCAGAAGGTGATAACAGCCACCCTCCAGTCATAGCTCCTTGGTCTCAATGGTCTCCTAGCGTGTCAAAAGACGGATATGATATACGGAAAAAGAGAGAGTCAATGAGACTTGCTGTGTGGTTGTTAAGATGATGGAACCTGCTATCGCAAGACAAATTGTAATTGCATTGGCTGGTGATTTTTATGGTGGATTCCTGTCTTGAGACTTGAGGAAGTCATGAAATTGAATTTGAAATGGACTGTGCGTGGGAGGCCTCCCACCAGGCAGGTGGATATAGCCATTTAAATAAATTTGACATCACTGGTGACATCTGCAAACTTTTTTTCCTTCTCTGGTCTCCGTGGCAACAACTAAGAAGGGAAGCATTCTGATTAAAAAGCGGGAACAACAGTGCACAGCTCATGTGTCACTTCTGCCATATGAGTTTGTATACCACTAATCACCCCAGTAAGATGACTAATTACACAGAATAACAGACATCTCTCCACCAACACAAGCCTCCTCGGATCACTTTTGACGTTATCTGCAATATCAGGGTTTATTCTGTTAAAAAAAAACAACAAAAAAACAAAAAAAAACAGAAACGTTTTGGCCTCAGATAAAAGGAAAATGATCGGGGCTGTGATTTTGAAGTTTTTCCAAGCTAAAATGCATTTTGTTTATCAAAACAGTCCAAGCCACAGGAAGTGTATTGACCTCTGTTAAGGCTGCTAACACACTCTTTGGCTATGTGAATCAATCAGACTTGTATACAGAGTCAAATCCAAAGACCTATTCTGAGCCAGGAAAAATCTTGAATACCGCCAACTTTGGGTACAAATAAACCTTACAGACTTGTACGCAGATCCAGGTGTAGGTGCAAACTTGTGCCCTGTCTCGGTTCTAACAGTGGGCTGTTAACGGGTACAGAAACCTTCCTCAACCCACTGTGCTAATCATAAAACCCCAGTTCCGCAGAGATGAGCACAATAATGTAGGGCCCAGATAGTGTGTGTGATATCACTCCAATGTTAGAAGAAATATAATAAAACTGTAAATCGGCATCAATCTTTTTGATGCTAACCACAACATAAATCTTCTAAATTTTCTATCATACAAAACCTCTTTTTTTTTTTTCCACAACTGTTGATATTTGGCAATCAGTACAGAACGTGCAATTACATATTACAGCCTAATTTGTATACATTTTATGATTTCTGGCAAACACAAGATTTAAATTGGAATTTAGTTCTTCGTGTGAGTACTACATAGTTTATAGTAGACTGCTCAGTAAGGATTTTTAAAAGCCAAGAATACCCCACACACTACCCAAAAATAAGTTCTGAACATTAAGAAACACAAGTAAAATAATACTGATTTGATGTTATGCAAACCTCTATAATATAACCACATCTTGGTATCCTTCTATAACAAAAACAAAGGACAAGAAACGGGAGGAAGCACAGAAAATACAACACTGAATATGGTGAGGTTGATTCTCAAGTTCAGATAACTGGGGAGTATCCTAACACTGCGCTAAGAGAACACGCAGGCTTCTCTGGGAAAAGTGGTTAAATTTGATCCCCACAGAAGGTACGGGAATGACACCATCTAGCATGAAATGAATCTGAACCATGTGCATGCTTAAACTGAAAGTCTATTAATGGCCTCATTGAAAAACCCATTTCTAAAAGAAATCTATCAGACTCAAACCATATTCTTATTTCAAGGACTTTTGCTGGAGCAGATGATGTATACATAGCTTATGGTTTATTTTTCATCCGTCCCATCTTAAGAGGCACTCTGTACAAGCATGAAGCCACACTGCTGCAATTCGTATTTTCAATATACCTTGCTTGCGGACATCTTCCACAGCAGCAGTCAGCTCATCCTTGAGGAACTGACTTTCCTTTGCAATCTTTTCGCCTTTTTCAAGGAAGTTCTCAGTAGCAGTCTCCACTGATGCAGCCAAAACATGGGCCTTCTTAGAGCGTCCCTTCCTCTTGTTAGATGGGCCTTTATTGCTGGTGTTTACCAAAGTGGTGACCTATGGCAGAGATTATTAGGATATTATATACCTGCCTACAGTTAATAAATTGTGATAAGTCTAAAAAAAACAAAACAAACAACATATGACATAGTAAGGCAAAATAACAGTTCTAAAATGGTGAAATGCAAGAATGAACCACAGGGGGGAAAAAACACCACATTTTTTCACTTTGCTGTTTTGTGAAATAAGATGTGTAAGGTGCCTCATTTTAATAATACTAATACTCGTTGTATTACCTGTGTGACCAGAGGCTCCAGTAGCCTTTCTACTGCCAGAGTACGGATCTCCAGGCTCTTCGGGTCCCATTTAAAGTTGATGTTTGGTGCGGTGTTGCTAGTCATGATGTCTAGTTTACTGGGTTTCAAAAATAAATAAATAAATAAAATAAAACAAAAAACAAAAACAAATGACAAATTAATTCTTCTGAAGCAGAAAATGTAGACTACAGAAAAAAATGGACATCTCTGTCCTTTGATTATTCAATATTTGCTTCCCTGAATGACTTAAAAGTTATAATTTCTCTTCACAAATCAAGATTTCTGTCAGATTATCAGACTAGTGTCTAGAACTCGGTGCATTAAAGAAATTATTAAAGTCCTTGTTAGAGCCAGCAGTGCTCCATTGCTTTCAGAATGAATGCCAACGGCAGAGCACAGCAACACAGTGGCCCAATTTCAATTTCTCTTTTCAGGCAGTGGCTGTGACTCCATTGATTAGCTATCAAACATGGAGGGGCAGGGATAATCAGGATGGCCCGAGGGCTGAGAGGCTTCAACTGAAAAGTTGGTCAGCTGTATTATGTGAGGAATTACAACACTAGCTATTAGCCTACATTACCAACAAAAGTACAAAAATATTAAGAGGGGAACATGGCAACCATGGCTTTCTAATTTTATAGTGAATCGTTATATATTAGAGCTATTTTCAGTTCTACTGTATTATTAACCACTTTTCTTCTTTCTAATATACACAGAGTTTCTACCCATGAGTTAACACGCAGTGAAACTGATAATGTTGTATTGAAAGAAAAAGTGTATAGGGGAAAAAACAAAAACAAAAAAACAATTTCTGTAAAGGTTGTTTGAGGAAGACGTCTGTTTGTCCAGACAACATGACGCATTTCCACTGAAAGCAACATTAAAATGCTAGTCATGAGACGAAGGTTAATCTGGGCCAGCGTGGGAGAAACTGCGTTCGACTGCTCTGTATGGGCGTGGTACATGTCGCAAAGTGATATCTACAAATCTCTGCAAATTAAATCGAAACCGTCTAGCAGGTTTGGGGGGGGGGTTTATGTACGCGACTTAGGCAAAAAATAATAATATTAACGGTTTAAAACTGTCAAACTAAGCCATGTGTAGGTACCAAGAAGTGTATATAACGTATCCAAACAGGAAAAATTACGTAACAAAACAGAAACATGTTAACACTTGCTGAGAAGCACTAGGGTGGGTCAATCACCTGGTGTGCTAACATTAGCTCAACTTCCACCTGTTGCAAAAACTACCTAAACAAACGTCGGTTTTACCCCGTCAAAAAGCGTTAAGCGAGAATATACAAAGCAGAAGATACTCGTGTACACATTTAACAGCCAATAACTGTCCACCTTAAGTCATTTTCAATACTTTATTAACAGCAGGCTACAGGTAACATTAAAACCAGCTTAGCTTAGCGTAATGCAGGTTGCCTGCTGTAACACGGAGCTCTCCAAACACAGCGATGAGCTAAAGCTAATGCTAAGCGACAAACAACTGTTAGCCTGCTTTCTGCGAGAAACTTTACCGACGGCCCAAACAACTAGTCCACTCATTTTGTTTAAGTATTCATTGTATGTAAAGTAAGAAAGACTCGTTATATACTCACCGACAACAGTCCGCTAGACAAAGTGAAGTTTAAAAGTTCAAAATGGAGGAATGGGAATTACGGAATTCCTTGCGTCAAAAGTTCTCCTCCCGTTTCCTCGCCCCACGGACTTAGTTTAACTGCGCCGCTCACTCACGATAAACACCAAAGTTTTCCTCCCTCCGCTCGACGGCTATACAGAAAAGTATCACAAGAGCTCCAGCAAGTCAGCTGAAAAGTTTCGGTTAAGAGAATTTCGATGGCGTAACGTATTGCCCAACAATAGATGAGGTAAAAGGAGGAGGAGGGGGCGCTGGGCGGTGACCAAGTTCCTGAACTTCCAGGCAGCGGGGAAGGGAGGACACGGGCCACAGCAAGTCCGTAAAACCAGGAGGTGTTTTAGGCGTGGCGCTCGCTGTGTATGTCCATATATGGATTAATTACTGCTTCCATAAAGGCAGGAGTAGGGAAGAGCTATTTAAACTGTTGGGCGAAAAAACAGACTTCTGACAGAGGATGGAAAATAAACTGCAAGTAGTTATTATGAAGAAATCTGATTTTTAAATATGACATTTGATTTGAGGGGATTTTCAGACGTGACACTTTGTTGTAATAGTTTTTGTTTTGTTTTTTCTGCCAGGATTTCTTCGACATTCAATCGTAACGGCTAAACTAGAAAGCCATAAAAAGATTTACTCTTCTTAAGTCTGTCACAACAGAAAAAATAATCATTAAAAACAGTGAAATTCTCCGTGAGCAAATCAGTTCATTATCTCGTATTATTGCTAACTCATGTATTGGACCTTTGTCTCCTGTCTTTACTTTCCTCTCTGCACTGCACCACTCAGTGACAGCAATGAGGCGGTGTCGATAACAAACTCCAAGGTTTAAGGTTATTACCACAGGCAGTGGCTCTTTTGTCTGTTGCTTATTTTCTTACTGTCTCTCTGTGTGTGCGTCGCTAGCAGAATGTAAAACAGAGCCTTTTCAAACTGAAACCTTCTTTTTGTGAAGTATCACGAAGACTCACAAATAGCTATTTGCGTTATATAGTGCTGTGCAAAAGTCATTAGAAATGTGCAAACTCTGTTTTTTCCTTATTTACTGTACTTCTATTTATCTTAGCACATATTTCATAAAACATAAATATGCAAAACTAGAGGGGTGAATCAAAACTTTTGCACATTTTGTACCTTCTGTTAACTTGCTGATTATCTTCCTTTCAGTTGATTTAATTTTTAATTTTAACTCAATTTAGAGCAGTTCGATTTGTTTTAAACTAAAATTATGTTTATCTTTTGTTAATGCTAATGGGTTTTACATGTTAGCAACTCTGTATAACAGAATCCCCTAGGGAAAGCCAGCTGATGTGGCATCAGGTGCACAGACACAATGGGCACATTGAAGCGCCATTTATTCATTTATTATTAATAAATAAACATCATATGGAAACACTGCAGGCATTCAAGACAAGTAAATTAACCAGCACATCTATATCTAGAAATGCTTTGTGGATACGCAAACATGTGCAAATTCAACTCTTACAAGGTCAAGAGCAAATATATCTCACATATGTCGTGGACTGAGACATTTGATAAACATATTCAAGTGCTGGGTATTTTGGTTCAGGCTTGATGAAGTGTGAAAGACATAAATAGATTATCTAAAGAGGCCAGGTGCCACCCCTCTAGCCTCACTTTTCTAATTCACACATACACGCACACACGTATAGCAGTGGTAGCTTCAGTGCTTGGTTCTTGGTTGTATAGAACTAGCTGCAGAGCTGGCAATTAATAGTTTATTAATTAAGTTCAATCTGTATCCTCCTAATGTTATGTGTGTTTATGGCACAAGACACCTCTTAAAGAAATACAGTACTGTGAAAAAGTCTTGAGTTACCCCTCATTTTGTAACATTTTGCTTCCAAGGAGCCAGACTTTCTTGCAATATTGCAAAGTGTTTGTAAGTAAAAGTCCTCCAGGCTTTTCTTCTGCCATTGTTTGCTTTTTAGCCATTTTTAGTCCAGTCCTTGTACCTGACCACTTTCGGAGGAATGTGTTTTTGTGTTTGTTAAGCTACATAACATGGACCTGTGAAAATCATGTACTTGAGAAAAGGGGGGGGGGGGGGGGGAATCCAGCAAAGACCTGACCTGAGAGGTACAACTGGCCTACTGTTCAGGACAAACAGAGGAATAAAAAGACTGAAGTATCCCATATTAGATAAGAGCTGGACTAAAGAATCTCTTATCTCTGTGCTGGTCTTGTTAATGTTGGTCAGCATTGCTACTGACCAGTCATATTGTTGTGACGTGATAGCTTTGGAATATTGAGAAAAAAGAAAACAAATTACTTTGTTTATATTAAACTCTTATGGAACAAATGGTAAGTGGTTCATTTTTTAAAAGTTATTTTATTTAACAAACATATGATCAAGTTAGCATTTCTTTTAGCCAAATTTAGATTACTTGTGTTGGTTTGCTCAGACAGCGTGACTGGTCAGTTGCAATGTTGAGCCAACATTGTTATGATGATGTTGTACACACAAAACCAACACTGGGGTGTCAGTTCAGACCTAAAAAGGAGTCGCAGCAGGTCTTTTGGAGCGATTAATCCAAGTTTGACATTGTGGGTTTTAATTTTTATGAGAATGTATGGAGTAGCTCAGAAGAGAGGAACAACAGTGAGTGTCCACAGCCATGTGGAAAATACAGTGGAGGCTCTGTCGTGGTTTGGGGCTGAATTTAATCCAGTGGTGTTGGATATCTTGTCTAAACTGACTGAATTATGATTGCAGAAAAGTACCATGAGATTTTGATCCATCATGCAATACCAAGTCTGATTGGCAACAGCTTCATATTCAAGCATAACAATGATCCCAAACACACTGCCACTGCAGTGAAAGCATAACTGAATAGAAAAACACACAATGGAACACTATCAGTCGTTGACTGGCACCCACAGAGCCTGGACCTCAACATTATTGAAGCAGTGTGGTTCAATGAAGCTTCAAAACTGTTAGAATCGCACAAACTATACATGTTTGCATGTTTCAATAGATCTCTGCACAATGGATCTGTATTGTCCAAGCAAAATATGAAGAACTGATGGGTGAGATAAGACTTTTCTACAGTGCTTCACGTCATGGTTCCAAAAAGAGAGGACAGTCATCAGTAATTCAAAGCAGTGGACACACAGAACACTACAATCAACAATGCTGTCTTGTCCTGCAGCCAAGCACAACTAACACACTTCTATTTGTTGGCTTGAGTAGGTGTTAATTAAGAAGCTCCACCAGTGCAGCATGAATTACGGTCTTGGAGAGAATGAGCTTACAAATGTACTTATCAAGCTCTTAATGAAGGCCTCGGAATATAATTATCTTTCAGAAAGACACTCCTTAATGTTTTTTGGGGTTTTTGTGCAATAATAATTTGTGAAGTAATTGTTTTCGCCATAGAGTTTTGACCATGCTAAAACTTAAGGAGTAATGGATTCAATTTCCATATTAAATTCTTTGGGATGGAGATACAGCAGTGAACTATCTTGTGTACATTATTAATTTCAGTGTAGAACAGAGAAAACCGGCATGTACATAGTGTAACAGAGATTTGTTTATCCAATTAATACTCCGTAGAGAAGACGGTTTAGATGTGGTGTAATTGTGTTCTTGAATGATGAATGTTTGTCTAAGTAACAGCTTGCTGGGAGGACAAGTTTGGGTGTCCTTGAACTTCATCTTTTTGTACCTGTTGGGCCCGACAAATGATAAGAGCGCAGCATGCTATAAATAATTCCTTCTCATTATGTGGAAGTGCACATGTTTGTCACATACTGAATGTATAATTGAGTGCATGCAAATCTTCAGAGTGTGGCACTAGAAAAATAGAAAATGCGGCAACATTATTTTGTGCTACGTCAGGTGAATATTACAAAAATCAAAATACAAAAATGGTATTTATGCTATCTTTCCTCTTAGCTTTCATGGATTCTATAGATTAGCTCTACATTTCTATTCAGGGGACACAGCATCTTATTGAATCACAGTCCTTGGCACTGCTCCACGCCGATAAAAGAAATGATCACGGTGACTACTAAAGGTAAGCATCTTTCACAATTGTGTTATTATCTATTGTTTTTTTCAGTCATGGATGCTACTGTATGTTACAGCTTCCTGTCAAAGTAGTTACTCATGCTTTGACGGTGACTGAACTGGAAGCTGCCTCGTTGCTGGAGGAATTTTGTTCCCTGACATAAGGAACACAGCGACTATCAGTCTGCCTAGGACCACCTGACTCATTCTGACAGCTGTCCATGGAGCTGCATGATGTCATCTGCAGGCTTTCCCTTTCCTAAGCAAAACCCTGTACCTTGATTAGAAATGAGTGTGTGGTGATGCATGGCATCAGAGAGAAGTCAGCCGACTAGTGACGCTAATGATAATCAGTCATTCATCGAGACAGTCCAGCAAAGCGGAACAGAAACGTACATTATTCCAGTGGACAAACAATAAGCCCTTATGACATATCAGACATGCCTACAGGTAGGTGTTAGGACGGTGATGTCATAATATCAGAGGTCTGCCTTGCTTGTCTGATTGGACATATCGGAAGGTCACAGTGACCATGACTCAAACACTACTAAACTGTTCTTTGCAGTCTGCTGAGCTCCACCTGCTGGTTTAGGCTTTTTGATCACACTCTTCCCTGCTGTCCCAGTGGAGCTGCTTTGACAGAACCTCTCCTTGACTTACAAAAAAAGCAAGGAACTAACGAAATAACCCTTTTTCTGTTTCTGGGTCAAGTATAACAAGTATAGCTATGAACTGATCTGAACGTGCCTCCTTTTCACTCTTCACACGTTTCTTACTGTTTATTCAGTAGTCTGGCATTTGGCTAGGGTCAGTGTCACTACTGGTAACACGAGCAAGGGTTGCACAGGTACTCCAACTCCTCCAGGATGTCACATCAATACTTGCCATTGCCAGAAGGCTGGCTGTGTCCCCCAGCGCAGTCTAAAGAGCATGAAGGAGATTACAAGGAGCTGAGAACAGGCTCGCTGAGAGCAGACTCACTCTGAGCACATGTGACAGACTGAAATGGTCTGGAGAAACTGTGGAGAACATTTTGCTGTAACATCATTTAGTATGACCAGTTTGGTGGTGTGTCAGTGATGGTCTGGGGAGACATATCCATGGAGGGACACACAAGCCTGCTATTAGGTATCTTAGGATGAAATCCTTGGCTCCACTGTCAGACACTGATGCAGCGGGTCCTGGGTTCCTCCTGATGGACAACAGTGCCCAGCCTCATGTGATGAGAAATGCAGGCAGTTCCTGGAGGATAAAGGAACCACTGACTGGATCCCAGTGCTCACCTGAGCTATAACCAACAGAAGACCTCTAGAACAT